GGGAGGGATGGGAAAAGAGAGGGCAGTGGGAGCAGGGAATGATATTTTAGGGAGGAGTGAGGGCCAGCCGAAGTGGGGGTCGGACAGAGCAGAAAGGTGGAGGAAGGGGGTAGGTGGGTGGCAGGAAGGTGTGGGGGTAAAAGAGGGCCACTTATCAATGTCTCCAGGCTTCTGGATGTCCTCATCTGCAACCTGCATCATTGGGATAAAGACCAAAATTAAACTAAAAACCCAAACCAGGCCTACAGCAACCTATAATATACACCAAATTGTCAACAATAAAACTAACTGCACATCTGTTAAAACTCTCCCACACACACACGCATCAGGATGTTACATGTCCGCAGCCATAGCTAAAGCATTTGGGTGCAGAAACATCTTACGTGGAAACAGCGCTCATTCAGTGAGAAGCTTATTTTTACCATGTGATTTCAACAAATCCGCTCTCCCCAAGGCATGTGATCGAGAGCACACCGTCACGACGTGCATTTTATTGTCACTGTGATTACTTCCTAGGACATACAATAATGCATTTCCTTCCTCACAGATGCCAGCAGAAGTCCCCAGAGGGGCCACATCCCATCCGTAACAAAGAACAGTGCCTTCCTATAAGGTCACTAGAAGTTGGAGTGAATCAGCTATGAACACCGTATCATGCGTCATGGCTGTGACCTTCACCACCAGGAAGTAAGGGGAGAAGAGAAGCAAATACTTGCTCCCACTTACCACACAATTCAGGACAGATTTATCTTCCTTTTTAAAGAAAGCATTTCTTGGAGAGACAGTCATCACCTTTGGTGGCATGTGGACAGGGGATTTGGAGGACCAGTGCCCCCTCCCCCAGACGCCTGTCCCCCTGTAGAGGAGGCTTTCTGATCTCTGATCTCCGATCTGGCTCAGTTCACTGGGAAAACGGGCCGCAAGTGGGGGCTGTAGCCTTGTTGAGGGCAAGCCTGACTTTCAGTAAATTCAGGCGCTCAGGCCTGATGCTACTGGCAACACCCCGACAGTCCTCCTCGAGGATCCACTCTTCTGAGTCCAGTTATTCTGTTGAAGAAACTCGTGTGACAGATCCAGGGTCTCTGGCTGCCTAAGGGAGAGCCAGAGTGGGGAATGTTCTAGAAGACAGGCTGTGTTGGCTTCACCTTCTAGCTGCTGGAAATCACATGTGAAGCGGAAGCATAAGCATCCCAGCGTGGACCGTCCCCCTGCTCCAGAGGTTTTCCAGACTCCTCTGTACTCAGTGTCCTAGAAAATATTCAAGCAACTGGACGTGGCCATTATAGGACAGAAAGGCTTTATAAAAATTCTCCCTGACTTGAAGTAGAAGAAAAGATTGCATGTAAACATTGCCTCTAAATCACTAGAGACCGTCGAGCCTTTCATGTCTTCACTGTCTTGCAGTTTTATGCACTCAGCCTCTCCAGGAGGCGTCAATCAATCTGCTTTTTTCTTAACAGAGTTCAGAGGCCTTTGAGTTTCAGCTTGAGCTTGCGGCTTGATTGGCAGAAATATTATTATCAGGAGACTTAGGATGTGTAAATAAAAGTACATGGACCTAGGAATAAAAACACGAAAAATTACTGTATACTGAGGAAAGTCATTATGGTGGGCGAGTAAAGTGTGTGTCCTTGGGCCAGTCTGGATCCAAGTCACAGGAGACTCCTGCGATTGGACCAGTGCTGACGCGAAACCACAGACTAAGCAGCGCAAACTGATCAGCCAAATGCAGACAGCCACCTGGCATTGTCCCCTGACAAAAAAAAAAAAAAAAGGCCGAGAGAATCAACCCCCATGTCAGACTGAAATTCTATTTAAAGTCTGAGGACCAAATTCAAGGCCTTACACGCCAATGTCAAACATGCAGCCACTGCAGGCTGGCCAGTGAGCTGCGCTCCAAATTGAGGCGGCGAGACTGTGGGACAACACAGGAGCCAGAAAAATCCAGATTGTGAAAACCTACCAGCTCTGAAAAGCACTTTCATCCAGACTAATTAAGAAGCAAGTTTTGCTTTTGAGGCTTGAACTACCAAGCGTGGCATGCAACACCTCAGACATACTCATAGGTGCAAATAATAACCAACCAGCCTCCAAACTGTCCTATATGCTGAGGTTGGCCTTTGCCCACTGCTTTTTGGAACTCACAGGACAATGTTAGAAGATGGGGGAGGGAATCCACAATTGCTCTCTAAGAAACATGGTCCCACATTAGACTGAATTATTTAAAATTAATAAAATTGACAGACATGGGCCCTCCCTGATGGCGCAATGGGTTAAAGAACCGCATTATTAAGCTCTCCGAAGCTACTGCAGCACAAGTTTGATCCCCGGCCAGGGAGGTGGCCCACATGACACAGCAGACCTCTCCTGACCTGCCCACTGCTCCCCTCAGCAGTGTACTTTGTCGATCAGCCTTTTCTCCTCCCCACTCTGTCTCAGATGAAGCCTCTCACCGCTCCTGCACCTCTGGCCTATACCCCAGTTCTGTGTGCATAAATAAATCTTTTTTAAAAAATTGACAAACATGCCAATTTTATCCTAAACAAAGATGCTTTGTTTCTAAATATCCTACATTGTTGAAAGCAAATGGAACCACCTAAGTGATCTGGATTGAATGCCATTTGGTTCTTCCTCTAGGTTCTAGGAACAAACACACTTCAGTTGGTGAAATGCATGTTATGGCAAGCACCACCCAATGGATCCCTACAGTCATTTCTTCCAAAGAAAGCTTCTCCCTAAGGAAGTTTTTACTAAACCCATTACCAAACACGCTGTGCTAGGAAGTCTGAGTCTAAAGGTCCAGTCTAAGATTAACGGGCTGCGTGGGTTTTCTTAAATGACTCAGCCTCTCTGCATTTTCATTTCCTCCTATGATTAACAGAGAGACTGACATCTACCGCGCTCTCTGCTCAGCTCACTGCTCCTCCATTTGAATTTCGCGTTCTGCCCACCTCATATTCCTCAGGTTCCCAGCACACAGCCACCTCCCGTCTCTCACCAGAGGCCTTCCTTGTTCCGCCTACATCTGGTGTATGGATTGCCCAGCATGTCGCCCCCCCCACACCCCCCCCCCCCCCCTCACAGGACTTAGCTCAGCAGCCACTTCCTCCCCAAAGCCACCTCAGTGCCCATCCTGACACATAGCCCTGCTCCCTGCTCTCACAACCCGCTGCACCAATGACTCAGAGCACAATCCATTGTTACCTGTCCCTCTATCATGCTCACCTCCGCAGGAGCAGAAGTGATTTCCAAATTCTGCTCACCGTGCTGCGCACAGCTTTCAGCTCAGTGCCCAACATGCAGCAGGGATCAAACCATACCGGGCTACACATAGTCATTTCTGCTATAGTGCGATACATATATTCCTGAAAATTCACACATTCACCAAAACGCTGGGGCTTGGACTCACCCCTTCAGGTGAGAAGCAGACAACTCGAAACCCGTGAGAGCTTGGGAATGGAGAGCTAAGAAAAGCCATTAGCATGGCTTGTGTGAGGGTTGGGGGAAGAGGGGTTTGGGGTGTGACACACACAAGCAGGCAGCCAAGCGAGAGTCTGAGCACCTCTGTGGCTGCTGGGCTGGGGACTTTTTAGCTGAAGATTATCATTCTTTTGCCACTATTTTGACATCCCTGATCTAGAAAAATCTGTGGCAACCGCAGCCCAACCTGTACATCCTACAGTCATAAACTCCTATGAGCTGTTACTATAGAAAGATGCTAAGGGTTAGTATAGTGGAGTTCCCTCAACACTCTTTTCCTAGAGCTTAAGAAGAACCTGACTTAGAGTATACCTAGCACATCCCTGCATTGAACAGTAAAAATTTCTGTAATCATTCCTGGCTGGTGCCTCAACTCAGGGTATCCCCAAATAACAAATCAGGCTTTCTGCATTGCTTATTTCTAAGTCACTTGTCTGACGATAGCTATGTCCAAAGTTAACCTACAAAAGCCTGTGCAAACCATTAAATCCTGCAAGTTAGCATTTAGGGACCACCAGCCAGCCCCTGGGCTGAGCTTTTCATTCATCTGCTTCATTCAATCCTAACAACAAAGGTGCTTTCCAGTGGATTCCACTCTTAGCCTTGTTTTACAGTTGAGGAAACACTGGTAAGGGAGGTTAATAATTTGCAGAGGTCACACAACCAGTTCACAGGAGTGGAAAACAGGTCTAGAGCCAAAGCATTTAAAAAAAAGCACAAAACAGGGGTGCAGCTGGTCGGGAGCACTGGTGTTTGAACATAAGGCCCTGAACCCTGGTCCCAAGAGACCTCTCATCCTCATTCTCTAACCTAAATTCACCAAACTTGTTCCCTCTGTGTGCAACTCACAACATAAATCTCCCACTTCCACCCAGAGGCGCTGTCGTCTCCTGGGGGCCCAGAGTTCCTAAGTCAGCCAACCTCACTTGTGGGCAATGCCCCAGCTCCCTGCCTTCCAGGAGTTTCCAGCCCAACCCAGGCTCCAAAGAAAGAGTCCAGAGCAGTAAATGAACCTCTGACTCTCATCCAAACAAATCCTTCAAAATCGGCCACCATGGCAGCCCTGTCACAGATGGTGGGTGAGGTTGACATCAACTCTGCTGATTCCCAGGACGGCCAGTTCCTCTTGAAAGTTTCCTGTGGTCAACTGCACATTCAAAGGATTGAATGAAGCAGATGAATGAAAAGCTCAGCCCAGGTTGAAAAACTGTTTACAAACTCCTGACTCGAACATTCTATGGATGAACCACTGACTAAAAGCAACTGAGAACAATGGAAACTTACTTGTATAGACTGATGGTTGGTTCAACAGCCAACATGACAAAGGGCGCGACTGTGTAAGAGACAGCCAGCTGCGTGGTGGCCCAGGTAGTCACGTCATACAACACCTTGAGGGCTTTGGAAGACAGGAAGTAATGTCTGTAGTTGTTCCTCACCTGCAGGCCAAGGGAGGCAAAGGACAGAGGAATCAAAAACCACCTTTATTTGGGGCCTGGAGATAGCCTATCTCTCCATAAAATACCAACCACATGGGTTCTATTTTCAACCACATGGGTTCTATTTTCAATAAAAACTATCATTCTGGTTTATTATAAAAAATACATGCTCACTGTAGAAAGTACTAAACATCTCCCAGAGAAAGGCACTCTTTCAAGTGTAGCATATATTTTTTCTAAGTCTTTTCTATCTATAGATAAACATGTATACACACACTGGATGTTAATCTATTGTTTTGTCAGTAACATTGCATGGATTTTTTTCCACATCTGTTAATATTACTCTCCATTTAAAGTTTAAGTTAATAAAAGTTAGCTTGTCTTCTGCCCTCTGCTATCACCAACAATTTTGGGATGTCTACCCTGGTAGAGAAATCTCTGTACATGTCTCCTATTTCCTTTGAATAACAGCAACACGGTGTTACAAGCAGTGAGAATTAAAGTAGCTCCCGTTGATTGGCTGATTTCTATGGGCCAAGACTGTATTAATGTTGTATACGTTTAAGTATCGTTTAAGTATCACTATACCCATTTTATAGAAGAGCAAACTGAGGCAATTCTTAGAACTGGAAGGTGCTGGATTATTGGACACTGTCATTTGTAGGACATTAGACACACGGGACTATATTTACCTCCAAAAAGACACCAAATGTCCAGCTTCAAGAGCCCAAGGCAGAGCTCAAACAGTCACTGAAAGGCAAGCTAAAGACACCTTGCCTCAGGGTTTTGGGGGAGTTTCCAGCTGGTGAAAAGCTAGAGGTATTGGGGTCCCTTCCATGTATTTTGGGGAGCTTGATCCAAAGAGGAAGCACACAAGCACTCTTATTGGGTAATTTCCCAGGCCCAAGACTCCTGCTGACTACTTGATTTCATTCATTATTCAGAAAAAAAATGGGAATACTGTTGTATCCACCCTTCCTTTCACCCCAACTTTATTTATGAAAGATGTTTCCAGGCCACCTGTCACATAAAGGAAAATAAACATAGATTGATCTCTGCCCCCAGCTCCTGGCTCAGAGCTCCTAAAACACTTATAGTTTCCTAAGCAATAAATAAGCACAAAGAGCATCTTTTGTTCTAATGCCAGATCTTTGGCCTGGCTCATGACACACAGCTCTTAAGTCCCTTGGAACTTCCTAGGTGGTAGTGTCTTCTGTTCTGATGTAACTCCAGGTGGTGCTAGACTGGGGCTGGTCACCAGAAAGACCATGCCCTGATTACAAGCTTGGACTGTTCAACCCATCCTCTATTCTACAGAAAGGGGAGAGGGGCTGGAAAATGAGTGACTGATCCATCACCTGTACTCCATTAAGTCTCCACAGAATCCCCAAAGCACAGGACTCAGGGAGTTTCCAGGTTAGGCCGAGACAGGAGAGGGCATTCAAGTCCCAGTCCACCCACTACCTTGCCCTCGGGGCACCTCCCTCCACCAGGACTTTCCAATGCCACCATGATCAAATTGTTTTATGAATTAATTAAACTGGCTCAGCCCTCCCTGGTGGTGTAGCGGGTTAAAGCACTGCCCTGAGAAGCTAAAGCCACTTCGCATGAGTTCGATTCCCGCCTGCCCCGGAGGTGACCACATGGCGCGGCAGACCTCTCCTGACCCGCCCGCTGCTCCCCTCAGCAGTGTACTTCGTCGATCTGCCTGTTCTGCTCCCCACTCTGTCTCTGGTGAAGCCTCTCACCCCCCCTGAGCCACTAGCCTGTACCCCAGTTCTGTATGCATAAATAAATAAATCTTTAAGAAAAAAAAAAGAAAAAGAAAAAACTGGCTCTTGCAAATTAATCAAAACTGAGGAAGGGGTTGTGGAAACCACCAACTGGTCAAAAACAAAAGTGATGACTGCGGCTGCAGTCTGCGGGGATGGAGCCCTCATCCCTGCTGGGATGTAGCTCCAGGTAGCCAGCATCAGGACCCACTGGCCTTGGAGAAAATCTCCCCATACCCGAGGTCAGAGATGCTTTTTTCTAAGCACCAGTTGAAAGACAAGCTTTCTGTAAGCCAGTGCTTTTAAGCCACATGAGATCACAGATACAAGACGTTTTGAGGAGTCATATTCTGAATAGATGATCAAAATTCTAGCCTTTGCCTTAGTTGGTTCTGGCTAACTGTTCATTTTCTTTAATAATCCAAGTAGGGACATGACCGGGAGGAGAGAGGATATCTCCCCTGGTTCTGTCCACAAAATCTGTACCATAAACTTGACAGCTGACTTTTGAACAACAGAGATTTGGATCACGCAGGTCCACATGCGGGCATGTTCCTGTCAATGAATTTCCTCTTGGGATTTTAACACTCCCTTTTCTCTACCTTTATTGTAAGGATACAATATATAAGATATCAAACACATAAAGCATATGCTAACCAACTCTGTTCTCGGAAAACTGCTGCAATTAGCAAGCAATCAGTGGTTCAGTTTTTGGGGAGTGCAGTTATATGTCGATTTCCCACTGCACATGGGTCAGAGCTCCTTCTGGTGGTATTCAAGGGTCAACTGTATTTTAAAGTATTCTGGGCCCTCCCTGGTGGCGCAGCGGGTTAAAGCACTGCCCTGAGAAGCTAAAGCCACCTCCACATGAGTTCGATTCCCACCTGCCCCGGAGGTGACCACATGGCGCAGCAGACCTCTCCTGACCCACACACTGATCCCCTCAGCAGTGTACTTCGTCGATCTGTCTGTTCTGCTACCCCACTCTGTCTCTCGTGAAGCCTCTCACCGCCCCTGAGCCTCTGGCCTGTACCCCAGTTCTGTATGTACAAATAAATAAATCTTTAAAAAAAAAAAAAAGGATTCTGATCAGCACAGATCGTCATGGGTAAGCCACCTTGCTCATACCGAACATTCAGCAAACCTTCACTTAAATAGAAATTCTATTTTATTTAAGGGACCCTAGTCTGGGACTAATGTAACTGACTACAGAGCTCGTAGTAGGGGTCCTGGAGTATTTAGGCAAACTAAAGATTGTACAAGGATACTGACTGGAATCCCCAAATGGACATCCGTAGTACATTTCAAATGTCATTAGACATTCTTGCACTTGAGTAAGGCAGGTCGCTATCCTTATCAAAGGTTGAAATGAAATCAAATACAATTGTAGATACTTCCCTAAAACAACTTATTTTATGGGAAATAATCACACCTGATTGTGTTGGAGCACTTCAAGGTTAAATAATTAGGGGAAGACAAGTTTAATGTACTTGGTGATTTCTACCTGGTTCAGCTCTGTGCTTAGTAAGTGACTCCAGTAAGCAGACAAGACCGCTTCCTAATTTTTTAGGCCATTAATTTTTTTCAACATTAGAAGTAGTTCTTGTGCTTAATCAACTACAAAACTATTTCACAGTCAGACGCTTTGAATTCTAATACCCTAGGTACACGTTCCTCTCGGTCTCTGAGACAGGTAAAATGTCCATTCCTTTATTATCCTGCTCTACAACAAGCAAATACAGGGAATGGGCTAGGAAAACTTGAAGGTTCCCCCCAAAATCTAGAGAACTGATTTTATAACATTCACGGAATTTTACATGAACTAATTTAATTGGATCAGACATGAGAGGTTGGTACAATTTCCAACAGAACATAGCTCCTGAGGTTTCGATTTTACTAGGTGCTCAGTGAATTATTTTGAGGCTTAGGAAAATGAAATGAGGAACAGAGTAATAGCAAAATGAAGGCCTACAGCGCCCCTATTAATTAACAGTCATCATCTGTAATCGGTAGTCTGTGTATGCTTACAGTCTTTAGTGACTAACAGTGCTCCATTTCTAAAGGTACTAAAAATTGCTGCTAAAATCCCTTTCGTTTTGCAAACACCCTCTAGTATATAAATAAAATGGTGAACCTAACCAATTTAGACTTATGTTACCCGAAAATTCCATTTAATTGGGAACCCATTTTCCACCTGGTCTTCCATGACAGAGTTCTTTCTGTTTCTGAACAGTTCCTAAATAAAATTCTCTATTTCAAGAAAAAGAAAAGGTAAACCATTTTGCAACCACAAGTTCCTATACAGTAAAGTGTTTAATGGGAAAACTTTTGTTTGGTGTTTTTGAAGCATCAGGCCACCTCCCCTACTCCCATCCCCACTGGGACCTAAAACATAAGCTTACAGATCGCAGAGGAGACCTACAGTCCAAGGCAGCTCACCGTTCTGGCCGCTAGTGTGACGAGGATTCCAGTTAAGAAGGTAAAGTAGTATCCAGGGTAGACACCATGCCACAAGGCAGACAGGATGAAGGTCAGCACCGTGGGGTACCAGGGAACCCGCTCGTAGCACACTCTGGGAAGAGGGACGTTCAGTAAGTCACAGGCCTCTTTATGGATAAGACCGTGCAGACATCAGCCTCCCCACTGAAAGCACGCCAGTCTGAGCCTCTCCAGGCACCTCTCTCCAGGGACCCCCAAATGCAACCCAAGCATCCTGGCTTATCTGCACATCATCACCAGTCAGGCAATTTGCATGGCTATCTTTTGGGGAGATACAATGAAGAGAACTGAATCCCCAAAGCCTAAGTCCAATAAAAAAGCAAGCGGTCACTTTCTCCTCACAGATGCTTTCTGTGCTCCTCACAGCAAAACTTTCTGCCTCACAGATGCTTGTTCTACCAATGGCCTGATCTACTAAGATTCCTTATGGGACCCTCCCTGATAGTGAGCAGGTTAAAGCACAGACTACGAAGCTAAAGCCACTTAAGCATGAGTTCGATTCCTGGCTAGGGAGCTGACCCACACAGCACAGCAGACCTCTCCGAACCCGCCCGCTGCTCCCCTCAGCAGTGTACTTCATCAGTCGGTCTGTTCTGCTCCCCACTCTGTGTCTGGTGAATCCTCTCACTGCCTTTGCAACTCTGGCCTGCACCCCAGTTCTGTATACATAAATAAGTAAATCTCTTTAAAAAAAAAAAAAAAAGAATCCTTATGGGTGAGGGGAATGCTGTTGTTAGCCCCAGCAATTCTGGTCTCAGGTCTTTGGAACAGGACAGAGGTGCCATCAGACTGTCAACACTAAGAATCTTCCTGCCCCTGCACACTCTGGCGTGGTAAGTGCCGTGTCCCTGGCTGCTTGCAGTCTTACAGGATTGCACCCATGAATTTGCCTCAAAGCATAATATTATGAAGATCTAGACGTGCAGCAATGATCCTAAAGATCTTGGACTTCTTAGTTGAAAAATTATTTAATATTATATATTATATTGAATTTATATTGAATTATTTAATATTACATATAATATATATTTAATATAACCAATATATTTAACATATAACCTACTATATAAATATATAATATATATATATGCAATATACATTACATATGAAATACTATTTTAATGTTATTATTAAAATAAAGTGATAGGGTAGCTGCCCCCAAGTCCAGTCTACAAATCCCCATCACTCCCTCTTCAAAAGAAGAAAGAAAATGAATTCTAGGGAGAACAACTCAGGAGTGGAAACTCAAGTTATTGTTGCTCTTTGAAATGAGTAGTTTGGATTGGTAATGTCCTTACTCTGCATCTTTTGAATTTTTTTAAAAAAGGTTTCTTTATGCATACAGAACAGTAGTACAGGCCAGAGGTGTGGGGAGGTGAAAAGAGTCACCAGAGACAGAGTGGGGAGCAGAACAGGCAGATGGACAGGGTACACTGCTGAGAGGAGCAGCGGGTGGGTCAGGAGAGGTCTGCCGCGCCATGTGGGTGAGCTACTTGGCCAGGGACCGAACTCATGCTAAAGTGGCTGCAGCTAGTTCTCAGTGCTGCGCTTTAACCTGTTGTGCCACCAGGGAGGGCCCCTATTTTTAATTTTTAATGAGGTAACATTGATTTATATGATAAGTTTCAGGGTATCAGAATGTACTTTAACAGATGTATACAGATGTGTACACTACACAACCACCAGCAAACGTGTTTCCTTCCATCAACATACACCCAACCCCCTTCCAGTAACACCACTCAGTTTTCTGTATCTGGAAGTTTTGGCTTTGTTAACTCATTCACTTTTATTCTTCTCTGTATCTTTTCTGCACAAACACAATATTTCATCACCTAAAATGATTTTGTATTTTTTTTCATTTTTTATGCACACAGGCCTGCTACAATATATTAGAATATAAACTCCCTCCAGAGACTATAGGACTTGATACATTGGGAGTTCTCAATATACAGTAACAGGGTTAATATCATTTGCAAAGTTAATAAGTTAATAAGTGCAAATTTTAAAAAACTAAACATTTAGATCAAGTTTCAGGTAACACTGTATGAGCTTACTTTGGAGGAATTTCTGTGTATCATCTCTTCTTGGACCCCAAATGTTCTGACTCATGAAAACAATTGTACCCACCCATCAAAACCAGTAGCAGTGACAGTTATTATTTTTAGCCTCTCCTTTTCTCTTTTCTTTGTGATAGGAAAGTGCACTAACTGGTGGTTGCTGCTTCAAGGAGAATATATGATTAGTTCCTTGATAGGTAATGTTTCTAATTTTAGAATGTGTAGGGTAACAAAAGGTCAGAGCAATAGCATCAAAAATGCAAAGTTAGGCCTCCCTGGTGGTGCAAGGGGCCAAGTCTCAGCACTATGGATTTATCAGTGGCCACTGCAACACGATTTTGATCCTCGGCCAGGGTGGTGACCTACATGGCTCAGCAGACCTCTCTTGTCTCGTCCGCTGCCCCCCTCAGCAGTATATTTCAGTCCATCTGCCTGTTTTGGTGCCTGTTCTGGTCCCCACTCTGTCTCTGCTGAATCCTCTCATTTCCCTCCTCCCCGCTTCACCTCTGGCCTGCACCTCAGCTCTTGTATGC